TACACATACCATTGTACCCAAGGGGGTATTAGATAACTCTTTGCTGCGTGAATCATCAGGGGACCAGGTCTACTGAAGAAACAAATATAAATGTAATAGCTTGCTGATGTAACATGTTCCAAAAGTAGACACTAATATATCTATATCTATATATCTATATCTAGATATATCTATATCTATATATCTATATATAGATATATATATATATATATCTATATATAGATATATAGATATAGATATATCTAGATATAGATATATAGATATAGATATATTAGTGTCTACTTTTGGAACATGTTACATCAGCAAGCTATTACATTTATATTTGTTTCTTCAGTAGACCTGGTCCCCTGATGATTCACGCAGCAAAGAGTTATCTAATACCCCCTTGGGTACAATGGTATGTGTAACTTGCTGGAGCCTCCCAAACTAGAGTGCTGCAAATGTAGGTGCCTAAAACATGAAGTGGAAGAAATATATCCTCCAAATATTACCTAAAATGCACTTATATTTGTCATGTTTCTGCATTATTTGGCAGGAGTTGATGTCCAAAGTGGGCTATTTTGTCATATTGGACATGCAGAGCTGACCCTAGGGGGGTGCGGGGCCTAGGGCAAATCAACCTGTGCAGAGCCCCTTTAACAGTGTGCGGGGCCGTGGGACCCCTGAAAAGGCAGGGCATGGCAATGCCATAGCAATGAAATTTGGTGTCTGGGGCCAAGCAGATCCCGCGCGCCCCAGGTGAGTCACTCTTCAGAGGACGCAAAGCCAGGGGCACATGGGGGGAGGGGAGGTGATGAGTGGCCGGATGCTTTTTCCGTCTCACGGGGCTTAGCTGCCAGCTCCAAGCGGGCCCCGCGGGAGGAGCTGCGGTCTCTCCGCCTGGCTCTGCGGGGGCCCCCAAAGCAGTCACCACAATTCACCCTATGCAAGGGGTGGCTCTGTGGACATGATACCAATGTTTTAGAGACACCATCACATGATAAACGTTAGGTCTAAAAAAACCCCCTAAGCCTTGCAGATGTGCCCCATGGGTTCATGTCCTCTGGGAAACCTGTTGTGTTGCAGCTTTCTCTGACAGGTGTCAGAAACTGATCTTTTCCTGATTTATGCTAAGCATGCCTAAGCAAACTTTGAAGAGTCTCTCTGCTTATTGTCATTTTAATGCTGGTTTCCTCCTCTCTCTCTAAAATTTGGTTTCTTAGCCTGTTACCCCTAAGGTGGTTACAGATCGCATTTGGAGGAAGATGAACTCTGACTTCAAGAGAAATTTGTGGAAAGGGAAGGTAATTGAGATTGTAAGCACTTCATTACCTCAGTCCTGGAATATGTGAAGTGTTCTTAGGCACAATATAAGCTTATAGTGGTGGTGAAAACTAGTAATACTGTAACTCTGCTCGTGTTCTTTCATTTAAAAGATGAAGAATTTATCTCTGCTCCAAGCATGGTGCAAGAGAAAAAAATTGATGAAAATCGAGAGATACTGGAAAGGAGGGTCTGTCATCTGTGGCACATCTTTCCATAAGATGGAAATTGAAGGGGCCAAACTGAAGAGAAGAAACGGAAAGTGAAGTAAAAAAAATGGTCTTGAACAGAAATAAAAATAAATTGGAGACTCATTCACTTTCCTGGACCTGTAAGCTTTATTCCTCTCCTCAGAACATTTTCTTTGAAATGTCCTCAATTGTAGGTCAAATAGACACATACTTGGCACTCCTGAATCAGCTTGCTTAGACATAAGCTGAGGAGAGTAACATTTTAATGCTAATTTAAAGGAACCTGATAAATAGGAAGAGATCTGAAGCAGACTCCTGATTCCAAACAAAGCCAAACTAGATTTGGATCTCATATTCCCCAGATCATTCAAGCTGTGACCTCTCCTACGTGTACTAGTTAAAGCTGCTTGTATGTATTAGAAATGTTCTGGTTACTGTTAATAATAGATTATAAAACAGCATAAAATACTGTTTTCCACCAAGTGACCAGCTCTAGAACTTGGCCTGTTGATGAGACTATAGGCTTTAAGGAAGATCATACGAGAAAAAGACAAATGCAGAGGAAGACCTTGAGAATTCTACTTGAGGAACAGTGAGAGAATTAGAGAACTACAATATGGTATACTTGTCTGATAAATAAAATGAAGCCTGTTTTGTACCTCACACAGCAGCAACTCTTAAAAAAAAAAAAAAAAAAAAAAAAAATGTTCTGTGGTACTGACAATCAAAATTTTTCTGTGGTACTCACAATCTGTGCTGGTCTTATCAGTTAAGATATGAATTTTCCATGCTTCATGTCTTGCAGTTCCTGTGCAGGACCTTACCAAATAATGGGGAAAAAGATTACTATACAGTGATTTTAATAGTACTTTTTGCAATAGTTCTTTCTGCTTTGCACAGATATGCAAGGTATTTCCTCTCTAAGCATCAAGCATCAAGCTGTGCCTGTGACTACTTAAGCTGTAATATTTTTGTAAAATGTCTTGATTTGCCATTATCCCAAAGATTCAGTTGTCTTTCAACAGCAAACAGTGCTTTCTGCCACTTTTTAAAAATTCCATTACCTCTAGGCCATTTTCTCATCTATCTGTTTTCCTTTGCATTGCTTTGTATGGTTTAGTTTTTCCTCAAGCACACCTAGCTGGAGAGATCCTGTGTATGGAGACTGTCTGATAGACTCTGTGGGGAGGGAACCTGCTTTGTGTGTTCCTCCTGCCTGCCAGGTGCAAACTGCCAATTTCAGACTAAATTTTTTTTTTTTCTTTACTTTGGAAAAAATAATTTCTGGTCTCATTATTTCTTTGCTACAGAC